GCCAATGTCCTTTGCCTTGCCTTTCAGACCCACTGGCATGCTACTCCTGCAACAAAAGGCCTTCTTAAATATAAAATGTTGTTTTTCTTACATTTTTTTAAAGTATTGAAATAACTCCAAAATTGTTCCCACTCTGGCACCACGAAATTGACTGCAACTTGTTCTGGAACCTACTGGGTGACTATACAAAAGAAATACGTAAGCAGAACAAATTACTTAAGACATTATCCAAATCAAAACTCACTTTCCAGTACCTAATATGCTCCACACCAGTTGGGACCTCAGCTGAGGATAATGCAGTCAGGGAATCCTTGACTGAGTTGACAAACTCAGAAAAACAGATACATGATCTGTGAATGCTGATGTGATGGTGGGATGCAACAAACACTGATAATGCAGTTCCCAAGCCTTGTGTCTGAGACTTTTCAGTGCCTATTCTTCAAAAGAGAACGCGATAGAGTTCTAAATTTTTTACTTCTAGCTCACTTTGTACGTTCATCAAAACGCGACCGGTCCACTACATACCTCTTCTGTTAAGACCTTAATTACTTCACGACTGCCCCTTAAAAAGAGGTGGCTGCATTTGCACAGCTGCTGCAATGGCAGGGAAATTCCCTGCGGACACTAGAGACAGGTAAATAAAGAGACTGCATTCGCTATGAGGTAGGGGGAGTGGTCCTCTGCCACTGATGAGTTTATATAATGCAACAGAAATCCAGTGAGCTCTGCAGACCTGTCAAAGGAGATACAAGGCTTGAGCTCTCCTTTCCCACCACCTCTACACACTCTCCAACACCCTGCTCTTCACTCGGAGAAGACACACGGAAATTACACCTAAGAGTGAATAACAATCTGCATACGCTCTCTATACTTTCCTATCCACTTTTATTATTAAATAAAAGAGAGAGAAAGGAAGGAAAGAAGGTGGGTAGGTAGAAGCTTAACCTCCCACTTGAGCCCAAAGTATGAAGTAAGCAAACGGAGCCGGGGAGTTTTTCCTACTCTGAAGGGGGAAGAAGAACAAGGCGCTGCCTCTAATCTACACCACGCCCAGTAATGCAATGACAAGCTCTTAAAACTCCATGGTGGCCCAAGCAGCCCCCTTCGCGGCGTGGCCCTGCTCGGACCCCGCGGCCCAGCAGCCGCCCTCTCCCCCGGCCTCTCACAAAGGAGAATGGTTCAGTCCAGACCATCACCCAGCACCTGATCCCTTACAACTGGGGGACGGGGAGGGGGCGCGAGGGAGAGGAGGGAGGATAAGTTCCTGAAGCCATTCTGAGAGTCACAGCTTTTGGAAAGACTCTTGGGCCAGCACTGAGGAGCAGGCGTGAGCGGGAAGCCTACCTGAACAAGTCCTGGTGCTTCCTTCCCAGTCAGCGTTTCAACTCACCGTCTTGGAGAACAAGGCGCCTTCCGGCGGAGCATGGCCAGCCCTCGCCTCAATCTAGCTTGCTAGTAGTCCATTCTCCCTGGGGTCCGCCCACCTTCGCTCCCACCCACCAATGGCGGAGCCGAAGCCCGGCCTCTTCCAGCGGGGTAGTGTGAACGCCATCCAGGAAGTCTCTTGAGGTGGGAGGTCCTAAAAGGCTGAGAACGGTACGTAGGCAACCACAGATATGCCTGATTGAAAATAAAATCTGGCGGCAGCTCGCCTCCGACGGCTCAGTTCGCAGGTGAACGGGCCTCTCGGCATCTTTTTGACCCTCTCCGTTGGGGGCGCTCTAAACTTACACATGTAGTTACCTGTTTCAGGGAAGCCATCTTGGATCGTGCCGGCGTCAGGCGGGCGGGGAGGGGAGGGCGAATTTTCGGCTTTCTGTCCGACTATGTCTGTCCAGCCCCAACATATTCTCCTACAGATAGGCTTTCCCTCAGTCATGAAGAGGAACTCTGCAATAATACTGAATGTGAATAAAAGCAACCACCACCACCCTCTAGCATAACTGCAGGATTGATGAGGTTTTACCAAATCAGAAAAACCAAAATCAATTCTTAAAATTAAAGTCGGTATCACCACTTCTTAGGGAAATCCTTTATAATCAATTCTTCAAAATATCAGCGCATCACCAACACAGATAGCTTCCAATTTTTATACTTCACTTGATTTTATTTATTTATTTATTGGTACTGGGGATTTAACCTTTTTCAAACAGGGTCTAGCTGGATTTTRGATACTCTGGCCTTGGCCTCCAGAGTTGCTGGTATTACAGGAGTGCCCCACGATGCCAGCTTAATTTATGTTTTTCATTATTCTGACTTTGAAAGCAGAATACTCAGAAATACTAAAATTCGAGGTATAGTTCCATTAAAAAAAAGTCTTAAAATTGATCAACAGATCCAAACAAATACATTCAGTGCTAATTATGAACTTATGATAATGATATGTAAGGAGGAAGGAACATTAGGAGGCAAACTTAGAAACAACGCCACTTTTAAATAACTGCATAAATGTTGAAAAAAGAAATAATTTTATTGTAGGTGAAATTGTACTAGATGAGAAAGATCTGATTTTCCCAATCTTACTCTCTATAGCTATTTACACTTTACTACATAAATTTTGAAGGGATTCCTTCCAGATCATTAGAGGAATTTCTCAAGCAGTAACATAATTGCATATCCATACATTTTGAGAAGTCATCTGAGGGCAGGCACTGAAGCATAGGCCTCTAATCCTAGCAATTACGGAGGCTAAGGCAGGAAGACTCCCAAATTTCACGCCAACCTAGGTAACTTAGCAAGACCCTGGCTCAAAATAAATAATAAAAAGGGTTGGTGATGGAGCTCAGTAGTAAAGTATCCTTGTATTCAATCCCCAGCACCAAAAAACAAAAACAAAACCCTTTCTTGTCTACTGCTACCATTTTATCATATTTGAGGATGTGAGGTATTAGGATTTATCAAAACACTGTGTTGTTTATCTGTAAATGCATATACATATATAATCTTAAATACCAATGGTTACCAAAATAAGAGCTTGTTATCCTTCCGGTTACTATCTGATATAGAAGAGGCCTGCCATCAAAGGATGGTATTATAGAAAGAGGRAAAAAGGAGGTCCTGATTCAACAATTTCTGATATCTATACTGATTTTTTTTTAAGATTTTTAAAAAGATGGACACAATCTTTATTTTTATTTGGTGTTGAGGATCGAACCCAGTGCCTCACATGTGCAAGGCAAGCGCTCTGAAGCTGAGCTATAATCCCAGCCCCTCTATACTGATCTTTTACTATAGATTGATTTTCCAGCATCACTGGTAAACAATCAACACCCACATTATCTAATAAAATTCTGCACATGGAGGTGGAATATCCATTTTCTACAATTCTTCATGACCAACTAACTCACAACACGAGCACATCACAAATGTACTTTTGTTTACCATTTCTTTACACTTGGTGAAACACCCAAATACAGAAGCTTATAAATTGAATAACAGAACTGGATGTATAAGTTAGGATTTAAAATTATGCTCTCAATTATCTAARTGGTATCAATGACTCTGAAAGCAGGAAGTCTTAGGCAGAATGCTGTCTTTGACCAAGGCTCTAATGCTTCCCAATTGCTAAAAGATACTTTGGGATGGTAAAGAAAAACTTCTGTACAGAAACTACAATGTTAATTTAGTTCTGTCCCTGGGGTAAGGGAACAGGCAGCTAACTCCAAATTCAACAGCCTCAATTGCTTTTTGGCAAGCACTCTATCACTGAGCTACATCCATAGCCCCGTCTCATTTCCTTTTTTTTTTTTTTAAGTACTTTTTTTAGTTGTAGATGGACACAATATATTTTTTATGTGGTGCTGAGGATCCGACCCAGTACCTCACACATGCAAAGCAAGTACTCTCCCACTGAGCTACAATCCCAGCCCTCTGTTCCTTTTTGAATAAGTAAAAACTGAAAGAAGAAAAAAAAAAAAAAAAAAACAAGCTGGGCATGGTAGTACATACCTATAATTCCAGCTACTTGAGAGGCTGAGGCAGGAGAATGACAAATCTGAGGCCAGCCTGGGTTACTTAGTGAGATTATCTCAAAAATTAAAAAGGGTGGGGGYTATAGCTCAGTAGACAGCTCAGTGGAGACCCACTGGAGTCAATCCTTAGTACTGAGGAAAGAAAAACAATACCCAGAATTTTTTTTCCAACTTCCTGGTACAACATTGATTACTACTACTGGGARCAAAAGGGGGTATAAAACAAATCTGAAGGAGGCGGCTTCTTCCATATATTTGATACCATACTCTAGGAGGAAGAGTTATCTACTTATGCTAGATATATAATCAGAAATGACACATGGAATATGAGCAGCTTGAATACATGCATATATTTAATAATGAAACAATTCATTAACAACAAAAATTATAAAAATTCATGAGACCTCGGTGCTGTGGAAAAAAGTGAGATATCAAGGAAAATAAGCAACTGACCCAGAAGGTATGAGTGAAGTGAAGTAAAGCAAAGGCAAATATGGCTAGGATAGTATTATATGATCTGAAAAGGAGAAGGGCTGGAGAAGCAACCAGTTATCTGATTGCTTGGTAATGAGCAGCCTTAAYGTATGCTGCACAGAATAGAGGCTATGAGCCAAAGGAAGGCAGGAGAGGAAAAGAAGAATATATAACCCAGGGTAAACAGATGGAAGAGASCAGGAATTACAGAGATGACTCTAAGGCCTTTTGTTTCCTCTAAAGTCTAAAATAAGTCATAAGTTTTTAAGTGTGTCAAATTCTATAATCACATCATGAGTAGCACTAGGCACCTGTGAAGAAACGGTGAGGGAAGTGGTTTATAAAAATAAAGGGGTGATATGGATCCTGCTCTACAGAGCTTACAACCTATATGAGAAGACAAATTCTACACATAAAACTACTATAAAATATATTTACAAAGTAACATACATATAAATAAATATACATATGAATAGCCAATATAGGAAAGCTAAGGGGTACTATGTCAATAATTGCTTAGAAGTCCCTAGGAGATCGCTGAAGGCTTCCTAAAGGAAAAACTGTTGGACTTTAAGTACAGTGTTAGTAGAGAGTAGGACATATGCAAAGGTACAGAAGTAGGAATAAATATACCATGTACAATAAGCAAATAAGCTTGATTAGAGTCCAAATATATCTAGTCAAGAAGTGAGTATGATGAAACAATAGAGATCAATTCAGTGAAGTACACTGCAATGTTACATCTGGTCCCTAAGCAAAGTGAATACGAAATGAATGTTTTCTTTAGGTAAGGATAAGTGGCCACAGGTCCAGGACCAACTCCACTTCTCAAGTTTGGTAAGTAAGATACAGAAACCAGCAATGGGATAGTAGAGAAGCACTCAGCTTCCTTAAACAAGTAGAAGGAACTGCTTTCTGCAAGAACTTGTCCAAAGTGGACAAGTTGTGGCAAGTAGTCCCCMAAAAACAAAGAAGTTAAAAAACTCAATGAAATTTCCTATGCAGCAGATCTACTATCCTAAAGCCAGCTAGATCCTGGTCATCTCAAGTGTTCAAGCAGATATACTTGTCCCTTGCTACTAATTCTTGATGGGGAGCATATTATATATGCTTATTAAATTGTTTATTTTTGAACTACCCTGACAATCAACTTTGATCCTAACATTTTAGAAATTAAAAAAGAAGTTGAAAAAAGCCCCAATCTATAGGGAAGGCTCACGTCCCTGAAAGAGGACAGGTCAGTAAGGGCTCAAATTCTTCCCTGTTCTTTAAGTGGAAAAGCAAAATATCACACCTTGAAAAGAGGCTGCTCTCAGCCAAACCAAGTAAGACTTCTTTCTTTAAGCCTATTGATCTGAAGCTGTTCCAGGAAAGAAAGACAGAAAAAAAAAAAAAAAAAGAGTTCAGGTCAGATGTTCAGCAGCAGCCAGCGTCCGACCCTAGATCACGACAGTTCTGCTGAGAGGCACTGGGTCCCAGTGATGTTGAAATTGACTGTTGGGGCCCAATCTTGATGCCATTTGCCTGTAAAAGAAAAAAAAGGCACAAGTTCCCACCTTGGTGCTAAAGTGAATGGGAAAAAAGGAGCAGGGAGAAAGGGAGAAATCATTAATTATATCTAAAACCAGGTATGACCTTGGCAGGWAACAATGTGCCATAGCCAAATTGTTGGGGTACAATAATCTCTGATGGATAAGGATAAGATGACTAGCTGGGATATAAAAATCTTAGCTGCCTAAAAGTGGTTTCTGTTCCATTTTTAAGGTGCACTGTTACACAGTTATTTGTAGAATTAAGATATAATTAGCTAGGTAAGAGTAGAGGAGGCACAAGTATAGAAGTAGTATATGATTCTTTTTTTGTTTTGTCTCAGAATTTGCTTTACAGAAATGACCCTCCCAAGCTGGGCACCATAGCACATGTCTATAACCTGACAGAATTGGGAGGCTGAAACAGGAGAACTTCAAGGTCTGCCTTAGTAACTTAGTTAAGACCCTCACCAACTTAAACCCTGTCTCAAACTTTAAAATAATAATAATAATAATAATAATAAAAAGTCTAGGGAGGAAAAAATAGAGCAAACAAACAACAAAACAGAAATAAAAGGTCTGAGGCTGTACATCACTGGGAAAGTGACCTTCGGTTAAATCCCCAGTATACCAGGCCTTTTTGAGCAATTAAGTATTAAACCCAACAAAAAAGAATTTAAAAACAAAATTTTAAATATTAAATCTCTCTTTAAGCCCTAAAAATGTTAAAAAACAGAGACTGCGACAAAATCCCATATGGTGTAAGTCTTTTAGATTACCACCCTAACAATTTCTTTAAGTGTTCTAGGTCTCAGACTTGAGGAAAAACAGAAATTGATTACAGGTTTCCATGTGCCTACATTAGGAAAAGAGCTTGAAATGGCAGAGTTACAATTCACGTATCAGACAGGGAATGTTTACATTGTAGGGATCTTCCATTCCTTTTCAAAACAGAACAAAATTAACTATCAACACCTCACCCACCACCTTTTCTTACCTCATTGTGGACATCAAATAAACCCTGCTGGATCTTCCTATATATTTCTTTGGCTGTGTTAATGAAGGCCTGAAGGAGACATAAATCATTTATCAGTCTTAAGGTAGAGAAATGAGAGAAAGAGAATACAAATATTATTCTTATTTGGATTTCTAAGATGAAGTAGGAATCACCAGAAAGGAGTAAAAAAATATGAGTCCCCAAATATCCCTGTTAAGAGCCAATGAGAGTAGTTTCAAAAGGAAAAAGGAAATTTTATGTATTCTGGTACTGCTCAAAGATGTTCCCAGGATTCTGAGCTTGGTACCTTCTTTAGACAAATATGATCTCTTTTCAATTAATTACTGAAGATATAGTCAACACCAGGCTAGGAAAGACTATAGTGGAACCAATAAACAACGCCCACCCCAGCTATAGTRAGAGTGGTTTCTAACCCATCTTACCAATTAATGTTACTCAAAGCAAAAGTACAACTTTAGGAATCAGGATAAAATAAAATGGAACAGTACCCTTAAAATGAGACATTTAGTCATTATGACTTCAAGATGCCCTTTCTTTGCCCTTATCCTATAGAAATCTCTTCTATTGAATAAAAGGACAAAGATGGTAATGCAATCTCTGGAGAGCTTTCACTTTTTCCAAAATAGTACCTCTTCAACATTGCAGGCTGTTTTGGCTGAAGTTTCCATGAATATAAGTCCATGCTCCCGAGCAAAGGCCTCTCCTTCCTCTCTCTTCACATCCCTGCGGGACTCTAGGTCACTGCAAGAGATTAATTGGAGAGGAAACTAAAAAAAGATYCAAGTGAAAGAGGAAACTCTAAATCTAAAAGAATCCCATAATGGTTTCAACTGCCAGCTAATCTGTAAAGTATGTAGATCCTACATTATATTCTCTYGTAAAGGATTACTAATTTCTGTAGCCTCTTAGAAAACATGCTTCAACTGGGAGCAGTGACACTTGCCTGTAACCAACCCCAGCTACTTGGCAGGATAAGGCAAAAGGATCACAGATATGAGGCCAGTATTGGCAACTTAATGAGAGTCTACCTCAAAATACAAAATAAAAAGGACAGGGAAGAGCTCAGTGGTAAAGTGCCCCTGGATTCAATCCCCAGTACTGGGGGGTGGTAGAGGGAAGCAACAGAAAAAGAAAAAAGAAAACATTCTTCAGATTCAAGACAGTCACTGCATAATACCTTACTCTATTACAAAGAAAAGGCTTATAAAGGCAAGCCTGATAAATCACTCAAAACTATACCATATGCTTCTTTTTCAAATGAGATCCAGAAGAACAAAGTAGAAATGATAAAAGGGAAACTCATAATTGCTAAAAAAAATAGGAAAGTCATGATTTCTCATTCTATAGTGCTAAGTGTCTTCGTTTTTACTAGAATCAATCCTCAGGAGAGAGCAAGGAATAAGGAGAACATAGTTGCATTAACTCTCACTAGTCTCATTTCTAGTGTATATATAAGTGGCTTGGCCCCAGGAAATTAAAGTGATATGGTTAAAATTAGGTGATAAAGAAACAAAAAGAGAAAGGGCTTAGAAAGGAAATGAAGTGGTGTGGAAAGACTACAAAGAATAAAAGGCTGACAAAAAAATGTTATACTGTTTGATAATTATTTTTCAAGTTGGAAATTTTCATTTGGAAGGTTTCCAGTTTTTCAACCACGGGAAAAAAAAAATCAAGTACTAAGTCCATTAATGAACAACAAACCTACAGTTTATATTTATTATACATGTTCTGTGTATACCAAGGAGAAATTATCCGTTTAAATGCCAACACTCCCAAATTTGCACCTCTACCCAGATGCTCCTATAAGCTCCAGAATTGTTTGTCCACTTGTATTCTTCATTATGTAAGAGGCACCTCAACTTAACACATCAAAATCAGACTTCCAAACTGTGACTACCCCAGGCTTCTACATCTCAGTAAATGGCCCAGAACAAAACCCAAGGTGCTGAAATGACCCCTTTTCTTTCCTAACTCCAAATATCCAATTTATCCCAAAGTAAATTCTTCTAGAATGTACCTTAACATCCTCCTTTTCTCTCTCCAGGTCACTACCCTATTCTAAGTCACTGTTTTCTCTGACCTGGATGACTAAAATTGGTATCCTATTGCAACTTTTGTTTCCCTCCAGAGTGATCTTAAAAATCTGATGAAGGGCTAGGGTTGTGGCTCAGCAATAGAGTGCTCTTCTAGTGCATGGGAGGCCCTGGGTTCAATCCTCAGCACCACAAAAAAATAAATAAATAAAAACAAAGGTATTGTTTTCAACTAAAAGAAATAAATATTTAAAAAAAAAAAACTGACAAAGCATCCAGGTACAGTGGTGCATGCCTGTAATTCCAACAACTTGGGAGGTTGAAGCAGGAGACTCACAAATGTGAGGAAGTAGGAGCAACCCAGCAAGACCTTCTCTCAAAATAAATAAATAAAAAGCTGGGGATGTAGCTCAGTGGTAAAGTGTCTCTGGGGACCATCCAAAGTACCACCAAAAAGGGAAAGAAAAAAAAAATGACCAAGCCAGCCATTAACTCTTTAATGCAGGACAACAAGTACAGCTCAACAATAAAGCCATGCATGATGCATGAGACCTTCAACAAGATCTCCACCACCACAAATCTCAAATGTTTTCACTGTATTTGGAATAAAATCCAACCTTGTTACTTATGCCTGTGAGGTACTGTGAGATTTGGTTCTTTCCTAACTTTTCCAAATTCATCTTGCACCATTTTCTTTGATTAGATTCAATACTGGGTTTCTTTCAATACCACAAACTTGCCAAGTTTCTTCTTCCCAGTCAAGACTTTCATACAGAGGCTAACCCTATGTGATACCTATTTTTAACCTTTGCTCAGTAAAGTTTTGCCTATCCTTCTATTTCCAGCTAAATATCACTCTTAATCAAAAACAGGTATCCTACTACTGTCCTCCTACATAGCACTCTTTTCCCTTCACTGCATTTATAATCACTTGTACAAATCATTTCATATTTAAAATGATACAAATAAACTCAGTGTCTTAACATTACAGGTCTTCAAGAAATCAGAAGAACTAATAAATGAATATAATTATCTTGTGTCTGCAGTTATCAAATGCACGCCATTAGAAACTCAAAAAGGACACCATGAAATACTTTATTTACATATTTTTATATATATGTGTGTGCATATATATTCATTATATACATATACGTATGTATACACACATATACATATATGTACACACACACACACACACACACACACACACACACACTTACTTTTTTTCTTTTTGGTGAGATTGGGGATTGAACTTAGGAACACTCTACCACTGAGCTACATCTGAAGCTCTCTTTATTTTTGAGACAGGTCTCGCTCAGTTGCTGAGGCTGGCCCCAATCTTGTAATCCTTGCCTTTGTATTTTTGAGGAAAATACATCAACATTCAATGTTAGAACACCACATAAATTACAAAATTAAGGTAATTCAGTGTCAACATCAGAGCACATCAGATTCCACTCAATATCTTTGTGAAACTTAGTTTTGGGCAGTTGCTGTGTGCTGTGATAAAATGCAAGTCATGCMAAAAAAAAAAAAAAAAATCAACAGGAAATGAAAGTGGCAGTGTCCAATCTTGATTCCAAGGTTTGAGATGCTCTGCTGTGCCTGACAGACACACAGGTCATTGATAAGAAACTGTAAATATTTAAGAATGAAATAAAAATTTTTATTTTGGGGCTGGGGTTGTGGCTCACCGGTAAAGCGCTCACTTAGCATGCATGAGGCACTGGGTGCGATCCTCAGAACCACATAAATGTAAAATAAAGATACTGTGTCCACATAAAACTAACAAATAAAATAAATATTTTAAAAAATATTTTATTTTAACTTATATTTTTCATAAGTATATTTATATTATTTAGAACTACCTACTTTTTGTTTGTTTTAGATTTAACTAATAATAAAATTATTAAATATTTCTTTTGGCCTTTAGGTGACAATTTTTTTTTTTTTTTTTTTTTTTACTGAAAATAATAAGTGTTGGCAAAGATGTAGAGAAATTAGAAGCCCTGTGCATTGGGG